TTCTGTAGCATGCCAGTCTTCTTCCTAGAAGAGGACATTTGTCAGGGAGAAAATGCATGGAAGATCACTCCCATAAACTCCTCTTCAAAGTTCACTGGGCTTCCTTTGCATAAAATACCATACAATCTCTTATTTACACTGAAAGCACTTTCCCAGAAGAGCTGGGTAGTTGTTAGCAGGGAATACTTAGAAGTCTGGACAGCCCTGTTACTAAGAACCAAAATCGTAATAAGGAAAGCCAATCATTTTTTTAAGTTGTCTAGCTAGTCAGTTCTCCAGTGATATAATCTTGTTTTCTGAGGGGTTTTTTGTACAATACGTACCATCACAAAGATTCTCTTTTGTGATTAGCTATGCTGATTAATAATAACATTAGTAATAATATTAGTTCAGTCTGTCCAGTGTTGGTTCTCCAGTTGTGGTCATCCATACCTAGAGCAAGTCCTTACAAGTATTAGACTCCTTTTTAAATAAAAATATTTAAAACCAAAATCACTTGTTATGGAAGATTACTGTCAGTAATGGTAAAGAACAAAACAACAAAGGGTCAAAAAAGCAGATTGTGTCAAACAAGCCTACACCAGTACCATCTACCCTATGTCTCCCTATAGCATCATGGCAGAGCATTTAGGCAGGCTCAGTAGAGAGTTTTAATAACTATCACCTTGTGCTTAACCATTCATAGTGAAAAGAATTTACTGATTTCTATCAGAAATTACACAAATAGTCACAGATAGTTACCATACATAATGGCAATATCTAAATGTTATTGTTTAATTGTAGCCTATGCAGAAACTTAAACCTCAGTAGGAAATGCAGACATCCAACACTATAACTCTTACAATCATGTAATAAGGCTTACTTAAAGAAAAAAGAAGCTAATAACCCCCACACTGGAATTAAACTACAAAAGTCAGCTTTAATTTGCATGTGTATTGTTCATCAGTGGAACCATCTAATGCTGGCTTTCTGTTCCACTATTTTTCTGTAGTTCTTTTGACAGTAAATTTGTTTATCAGCAAAGAGGACTTGGACCAATTGAACAGAACACAATTCTCGTCCTGAATCCAAGTAATGCAAAACTGCATCGTTCCATGGGCAAAAGTCTGTAAGTTATTTTTGCTTTTATCAATAGAACTAACATTTTTGTATATTTTACTCCAAAAAGTCCCCAAGCCCATTTTCACTTATGTTTTATATTACATTTGTGTGATTGTAGCCTTTGAGTTTATTTCAATTAATAAAGAAATTAAAATTACAAAATCAACAACTAATAAAAGTAATTTGACATCATTACCACCTCTGCTTTCTAGCAATTCATAGAACTTCATCTGCCAGCCAGATTAACAGAAATGCAGAGCTCATGAGTATTGTATATTGTCCCTAGAGATACCAAATATTAGTCTGAGTGACATACCAGAGATAACCGCATTTCAGAGCTGAGACACTCTTGTCAGGAAAATTCTATTCTTTAAATGTATCTTTTCATTAAATACTACAGGTAGTTAATATGTACAGCATTTGTTGATATGTAGATAAAAAGTGAAATCTTTGCATGTACATCATTCTTCCTGAAAGATGTTTTTAACTTGAGTCTTCTACATTGGTGTTTTCAGATTCTATTTACCACATGGTTTGAGTATAGATAAAAATGGTAACTACTGGGTCACTGATGTAGCTCTCCATCAGGTAAGTTGTCAAAGCTTTAATACTAGGACCTTAATATTTTGCCAAAAAATGTTTTTGTTTTCCTAGAGATTTGACATAAGTGATTTACTTAGGCCTGTTAAGATAAACATTAAGAATATGCCTACAGAAATTGACCCCTGTGGCCTTCATGGAATATAGTTGTGTTGAATAATTTGCTACATGGACATAGTATTCAGAAATAAAAGTATCTGGTTTAAAACAATGATTCTTTTGAAAAAGAACAGATTTTTCTGCTACATCTTTGCTTATCAATTCTCCTATGTACTTAAACCCAGCATGTGAAACTAAATCATATGCTGTAATCACAGGAAATTTGTATTTTATGCAGAAATTTCCTAGAATCAACATTATTGAAAAAATGGTCAATATATCAAGACTATGTTTTGATTATAAATTCATTTTATACACAGTAATAGATATTTTTTTGTAGACAGTCATCCCTCTAATATTTCACTTTCCATAACTGAAACCTCTTCTCTTTTCCCATTGACCAAAAAAATAGGTTTTCAAACTGGGAGTAGATGACAAAGAACCGTTACTCATCTTAGGAGTGGCTTTGCAACCAGGTAGTGACAAAAATCATTTCTGTCAACCAACGGATGTGGCTGTGGATCCAATCACTGGCAGCATTTATGTCTCTGATGGCTACTGTAACAGTCGAATCATTCAGTTCTCTCCAAATGGACTGTACATGATGCAGTGGGGAGAAGGTACAGGTCAGAGCTCTTGGTACTTTACTTGTACTGCTGTCTTCATGAACTCATGATGAACCATAAGATTGCTGATGTTACTATTACTTTTATTTATGAATTTCTATTACCAACATACCTTCCAGGCCCTAGCTGAATTTCAGCCTTGTCATTGCATTCCAATTTTCTCTCTTTATACAGCTACTTGTAATAGTTACATATTAACTAAAAATAAAAAATGGGAATTTGTTAGCATGCTTTCAGTACAAGTATTGGCATGTCCTATCTTATCAAGAAAATATTCCGTATCCTGACTTTCACAAAAACCTTACTTTTTTCTTAAACATTTGATCAAATAGTATAAGCCTTTACCATTTCTACAAGATTTCTGCCATGATCCCATCTATTTTAAGTTTCATGAGTAATTACATTTGCCTGACTCAGATTTATGTATCAGGCATTAAACTATGCCAAATGTTATAGAGAAATAGCAAATTCATAAATTCATGATTTACAAAGACAACGCAAAAGACTACCACACTTTACCTACCTAAACAAGTAAAACTGCTAGGAGAAGAAAGCAAACTGACTTCATTCTTTTCCCAATGTTATATTCCATTATGTGACATATTGCTGTTTCTAAGCAAAACTGATAGTTTCAGTGTGTACTTAACACAAACCTGGATATTTTGTATTGCAGAGACTTCTTTAGGCACAGCCAGACCTGGACAGTTTCATATCCCTCACAGCTTAGCCCTGATCCCCGACTTCAGTCAGCTGTGTGTTGCAGACAGGGAAAATGGTCGAATTCAGTGCTTCAGGTTAGAGACTGGGGAGTTCATAAGAGAGATCAAGCACAAATCATTCGGAAGAGAGTTGTTTGCAGTTTCGTATGTTCCAGGTAATCTTTTTTCCTGTTCTTCAGATTTCAAGTAGTTGCTTTATGCCAGTATGTCACAGTACACAGTGTTATTTCATGAAGAGTGCCATCATGTTATCTTAGGCCAGATATTTATTGTCTTTCAAAGTACAGCTGATGTAAAGGAAAATTTTAGAACTATCCTGTTTTCCTATTTGTAGGATGAGGGAAGCTTGCATATAATCTCTGATCCTGAGAAATGACCAATTAGACTCCCTAAATGTGATGTCAACAAGAAGATGAACTTGTTTGCTTCCTAGTGACTGCACAGTCAATGATTACTTAATAATACTGTTTTAAAATACTTATTTCAAGCTCCACTGAAGAGAGCAAAATAAAGAGCTTCCAAACTATCAAGAAAACTTTTGGGTTTCATAAAATAAAAAATCTGAAACCAAACAGTTTGAAAACGTTGTGTGTTTTAATATCACAATCTGGTTAACAATTACTGTATTAAGTTTTTGAGTTAGATTTTTAATATCAATGCAGAAGGTAATGTAAATGTCAAGAACTGGATGAGGAATTTTGGCGTGTCAGGCTCCTGACTCTGCAGTTGATACCAAATTTAATATCAGGGCTATCTCCCTTGCATCTGCCAAGAACATAAGGAATGCTGTGCTGGATGAGATGCTTGTTATCTATAGCCCAGTGCTGTGTCCCTGATAGTGGCAGCAAGAGAGGCATTCTAAGGAGAATGTGTAAGCCCGGCTGCATTTTGTGATCCTTTCCTCTCTTACTCCCCATGCATCCACAAACACTTTATTTAAGGGTGTGTTAGGAGGTAGCTCCTCTTCTTTGTAGTATCTTTCTGTAGACATATTGCCCATGAGTTTTCCTAATTCCATTTTGAACTGGCTTGTACTGTCTGCCTCCTTGACATCCTGCAGTTATAGGCTCCAGAAGTTAACTACCCACTTCATTTTTTTAATTTAAAAAAGTGACCTAGTTTCATTGAGTTATTCTCAGTCCCAGTATTTGGGGAGTTGGTGAATAACAGTTCCACACTCCCCATATCTGCTGCCCCTTAGCCTTCTCCTCTCCAAAGAACCCCAGTCAGCCTAGTCTCTCCCCATAAGCCATTTAATTGCTTCAGCCCCTTGACTATTGTAGTTGCCTTTCTCTTCTAGCATCTTTAACTTCATTAGGACCTTCTTGAGATGTGGAGAGTAAAACAGCACTCAGTACTCAAGATGATGGCGTGCTAAGTTTTTGCATAGTGGCAGAACTGTCCCATCCATTCCTAATTCTCTTCCTGATGATGCCCAACATTCTTTTGAAATTTTGGCTGTCACCGTACACAGTGACATACAGACTCAAAGATGTCTCTCCTGAGTTGTAGCTGCCAGTTCCAAGCTAAACATCACGTAGGCAGGATCTAGATTATATTTTCGCAGAAGCGTCAGTCTGCATTTGTCTTTGCTAAAGCTCTTCTGCCATCTGTTTGACAACTCACTTATTCTTATAAAAAGTCTTTCCGGACTTTCTCAATATCATCAGCTTTTGACTGCTTCGCAGAACTCAGTACCTTCCTCAGACTGGGAGATGTAACTGTTCACCCCATTCTTCAGGTCACTGATGAAGACTATTGAATGAAATTGTTTCTGGCTCTGATCCCTGCAGGATCACACTACTCAGACTTCTCTATCCTGAAAAATTATAAGCTCTGCCCTTAAGCTCTGCTCTTGCTTCCTGTTCATTAATGGATCTTTCATTCAGTCCTGTGACAACTCACATTCTTTAATAACCTCTGATGCACAACCTTGTCAAAGGCTTTCTGAAAATCCAAATATGTCTACAGAATCTCCTTTGCTAGTGTGCTTTTTCTCCCCGTTAAGAAGTGAGGCACAGTTTCCCCTTAGAGAAGCCATACCAACAGGTCTGTTTCCAACAGACCACACTTACCCATGTCTTATACTTCATTGTGGATTCTACCATCTTACTGGGGATGGAAGCCAGTATTGTTGACGTATAGTTTCCAGGCACCCTTTTGAGCCCTTCTTGTAGACAGGCATTACTTTGGCAGTCTGCTAGTCTTCTGGAGGAGTGGCTGTTTGCAGTGCTAGGTTATTCAGCTTGGCCTGAGGTCTGTAATTTCACATTTGAGTTCCTTCTGAACTTGAGTGAATGCCATTCAAACCTGTTGAATTATTAACCTCCAACTTGTCTAACACCTTTTGTGTATCTCCTTCCAGTTAAGCTGGCTCCTCTGACCACTTTGCTATGAAAAAAATAGAGGGTCCGAACCTCACCAATGTATTCAACAGAAAAAAATGACAGAAACTGAGCTTTTTTGCCACAGGCCCCTCATCCCTGAGTCCTCCTTTCACACCTTTTCCTCTTGTGGTCCCACTGATTCCCTAGGTGACTTTCTGCTTTTGATGCATTTAAAGAACTTCCCGTTACCAGATCAAGCATCCTGAGCAAAGCATTCTTCAGATTATTTTTTTTTAACCCTTTTACATTCTTTTTACATTTAACCAATCTGTAAAATATTGCCTTGCTTGTTCTTCTCATATGGACAACGTGTGCATCTCTTAAATGCCAAACTTTCACCTGTTATACTTTGCTTAACTTTCCTCTTGTGATTTAGTTTCCTATTGAGTTACTTTTCTGTTTGTCTCTGTCTTCCTCTCAGACAGCCTTTTTTCATCTATACTATTAAAATTCATCTTCATTCTAGTTTGCTACGTGTAGGTTGTTAAAGCAAATACAATGTCGTTGCAGGTGGTCTCCTCTTTGCAGTTAATGGAATGCCTTATCCTGGAGAGGCGGAACCAGTACAAGTATTTGTGATGAACTTCTCTACCGGGGAAATAATTGATACTTTCATTCCGCTTAGAAAGGTAGAGTATTGCACAGAGTGCCTGGTGCATATAATTATATATATAGGAATGTTGGTAACATCCTACTTCTCCAACTTTCATAAAACTATTACAGGAAATAAGATGTTTTATAATGTAAGGTATTCAAAAGGGATTCTTTATAATATTAACTTAATAAAGACACTAGAATTTCGGGGCTTAGTTTCTACATATGGTACATATTCGAAAATGATACTACCCTCAAGATGATTCCTACAGATAATACCTTCAGTCAGGATAAGCCTACTTTATTGCTGTCAGGCAGTTCTAAAAGCTAATTTAAGAGAAGAACAAACCTGCTGCGTTTTCCAGTCCAAGGACTGATTATGACCAGTCTCAAGTTCAGGGTTAAGGAGGCCTCATGAATGTATAGACACTTAAGAGTAATTTGTGAATGCTTATCTTCACAGAGCTTTGAGATGCCACATGATGTTGTTGCTTCAGAAGATAAAACAGTATTCGTTGGAGATGTTCATGCCAGAGCAGTGTGGAAATTTGCATCCACAGAAAGTATGTTCTTTTTGTTCTTAATGTCAGAAGTTCACATTTTGTATCTTCAGATCACTACCACTTATCTGGTACTGCTGGCAAAGAACTGGTGGCTTAATGACAATGATTTAAGTACACTACAAGCTCTGCTTGCAGAAGCTGTGTGATACTGCTCAGTTTTCATTAAAAGACCATTCTTCAGCATTGCTGCATGCTCTGTCAAAAGAGTCCTGAGTGCATTTCATTTGTCGCAGGAAGAATCAAAATGCATTTGCCTCATGGTAGATCTATCCCTTGTCATGTCAGTACCTGCTTAAACAAAAGCATGACTCTTTAGCATTTTACTAACTTTAATACATCATTTGCTCAGAAGTCCACTGCTTCCTTTGAGCTTATCATATAGGAAACTCCCAGGGGCTGAAGTAAAAACACAAGACAACTTAAAATTTATATTCATTTTATTGGGACTATTCATCATTAGAAAATGAATCTAGTATAATTTGAAGTCCTATTTCCATGAAGTGGAAACACTTCCCAGATTTAATCTAGTAACGCCCAAGCCTGATTTCAGTGAGAGGGACCTGATTAGTCAGACATCACTTTAGTAGGATTCAGAGAGAGATTAGATATTTTACAGGAATAAAAATATAATCCACTGTTACATTATATTGGATAAAAAATGTATGAGAGAGATAAAGCCTCAGGCTTCAAGGTGTTAGTCACCAGTCTGTTGTTATAAATGAACTTCTGACTAAGCCAGTTATTCCATATTTGTTTATAGTTCATGGGTTTTCCTTTGGGGCATCTGGTATCAGCTGCTTTTAATAACAGGAAACTGGACCAGATAAATTGTAATTCTGACTGGATATGGCTTTTTCTGCATATAGTAATGTGAACAAGATCACTTCTAGGCTTTTATTTAAAGAAACATGACAACAAAAAAACAATGGAATTATTTATCGCTTACAGGTTAGGTGAGGAAACTCCTTGTATATAATTTTCTTTTTAGCTTTTGCTGAAGTATAAAACTGCTAAGGAGACCTGATTCAGCCAGCCTTTAATCCATCATGATGTTGATTATAATTAAGAGTTTTATTTTTGTGGGAATCCCTGAACCTTTACACATGCCCGTAAAATCTCTCAGTGGTGTAAGAGTTAATTGGTGCAAACACCTTTTCTTTTTTCTATAGCCTTGTGAGCCATGCAATAGTTTATATTGACTCTCCTTCGTGAAGTTCAGATGCTGATGGGATTGTTTACTGTAGGATTATACTGTACATTTGAGAAAGCTAGCAGGAAAATGTCACTGAGTGTCTTTCTGAAATGTCAGTTGTCCTGAAGAATAATTTTGTTTTACAGAAATGGAACATCGGTCAGTTAAAAAGGCTGGTATTGAGGTACAGGAAATAAAAGGTTAGTCTGATTCATAATGGAAATGAAGGAACCAGTATTTTCACACTAGAACTGCTTCTGCAACTTGGAGGGAAAAATGCTAACTAGTTTCACTGTTGTTTTACTTTTCACCATCATTTCATACAGTGACTACAGATAAAATGAGCTGGTATAGGAAGCACTAGAAGGCAGCTTGTAACAGTGTTACCTAGTAGATGCTATTTTACAGCCAATCTAAAGATTTCATTTTCAGTGATGACAAGTGCTTCACAGACACTAAGATAAAAGTTTAACTAGTGGATTAATTCCACAGAACCATCTGGTATGGTCCAGATTGGTATCTGTGTCAGCTCCCTTAGATGCAGAAATAGCTCTGAAATATAACTGTGATCATAACTCCCCAGCACTCTTCTACCTGCTCTACAACCCTCAACCACCAAAAAAGGGTTATTTGCAACGGCAGTTGGTTGATCTTTCTGCATAGTCTTTCAGCACACAGCCTTGCCAGTCACACCATATGGCAAAAATTGTCATTTTTTCTGTTTAGATCTATTTCCCTGGATTTACTCATTCTTTTTTTTCAATTTATCTGCATGAAAATGAAAAAAAAAAGAAAAAAAAAAGGAAAATGAAAACATGTAGAAACTTAATACAAGGAGATAAAGAAATATATGTAGAGAAGATTGAAAGGGGTAGAATACCAATTCAGGAAGATGAAAACTAATTTTAACCATTAGTATTCTGTTACATGGTTCTTTTATATTGAAAAGGAAAAGTTCATTTCCCGTTCAGAAAAACAGTACCAGGCTATGGAGAGGCCTTTACAAAATGTTCAGATGTTCTTAACTGTTTTTCTTTGGTTGAAATCAGAGCTTTTGTGGTTTGCTTTAGCCATGTATATACAGCCAGAGAAAAATACCAAAAGATCCCAACTGCCAATTGCAAGCATGTAGAATAAAGTAGGCTGACATAAAACAATGAAATCCTTATTGTCAGAACTGTTATTCTTCTATTTTATCCCTGTTGGTACATCAGTCCTCCTGAAGCACTCAAAAGGGAAGTGTTGACATTAGAATATCCACAGTACAACAAACCTAAGTATATATTAATGCATTTTAGCTTTCTTTAGGTAGATACCATGCTAGCTGCCAGTGTTACAGAGAAAAATGCAATAGTATCACCAGGGTAAGAAACGGTTCTTAAGTAACAATCTCTAAAACTGCTTAGGGTAGGTAGACTGAAATTAACATGATCTAGTGAAAGCTGTCCCTGCTTACTGCAGGGGGGTTGGGCTAGATGACCTCTAAAGGTCCCTTCCAACCCAAAGCGTTCTGTGATTCTATGATCTTTGAACTCCACTTGAAGAAAAGAGCCAGTGGACTTTGTGTTACACTCTGCTTAATAGATGGACAGGAGCGGCCTGCACTTTCACAGCCTCCTAGTGACAGACTGTTACTAGGGCTTGCACTGCTGTGAAGTGGGGAAAAATACATGGAGAACAGTAGCTTTGCCCAGAGGTCAGCAAGATGGTGGAGCAAAATTGCTCTTGGCTATAACTACTGCTTGAACAGACAGAATGTTATCATTGTCTTATGATTATCATTGTATTAGTGGTAACAATGATATCATTGTTATGATTGTATTAGTGTTAAGTGTAAACTGAAGCATTTAAGATTCTTTCAGAATAGAACATCATTTTAAGTTTGATGCAGAATCAAAATAGAGTTGATTCAGAGTGTGTTTCTGATGCAGCTACTTCCTAAGACATGCAGTTAAGTCAGACTTTAATATATAAAGCTAGATGGTTTTACTCTTTAAAACTTAGCACAAAGCATGTGATCTTTTATACACACACAAAACAGCATAGAGGATTTTACTGAAATTTGTTTTTTCCTTGTAGGTGGAGAGGTAACAAATTAGTCAGGAATGATTGGATGCAGTTTTCAAAAGCTTTCCAGATTTACAGAGCCAAAGTTCTTTCATGGGATGTAGCAGTTCTGAAAATTTAACCCTTTGTCACAAGTTTATTAAAAAGAACTTTTAATGCTTTCCTTTAGATTTATGATCATACAGCATATACTGGATTTCTTTATTTCCTGTGGAAGTGTTATTGTCAAAAGGATATATTTAACTGATAATACATTACACGCCTATTTGCAAAAATAGATCTTTTGGGGACTTTCCTCTGTTTTAAATGATAGATACCTTTTCAGACAAAAATCTTCCTGACACCTCCCCATTTGAGAAAAGGGGAGGGCATCTTTGCTAGTGAGTGATATGATTCAGACTCTCTGCCTTACATTTGGGATAACATCAGCAAGAGCTAAAAATATGTCCATAAGTGTTTGTCTCTTGTTTCCTTGTTACTCAACACTTCAGGTATTCCAGCTTGTTCTTTTTTTAACGCCTTGTTCTGTGTTGCCTGATGCATATGGATTACATACTGAAATTGTCTTCTTTTTAAAGAATCAGAAACAATTGTAGAAGCCAGATTGAAAAACAACCCAGAATCAACAGACCCTCTAAAGAAGCAGGAAAAACAACATCTGGTCCGACAGGCCAGCACTGGAGTTTCCTTTGTTCTTATTACAACTCTTCTAATTATCCCTGTTGTTGTCCTGCTGGCAATTTTAGTATTTATTCGGTGGAGGAAGACAACTGTCTATGGAGGTAACCATGAGTAACTCTAGAGAACAGGCTTTTATTATTCCAGTTCAAAACATCACTGAACACTGAGGGGTGAGGGTATGAAGAGAGAAGCTTACTGTCCCTTTACCCTTCTGAACAGTTTCTGTGATGCTGCATGCAAACTAAGAATCAGCATGCACACAGCAGCTGCATCCCCTTATGCCTTTCATATTAAATCTCAAGCCACCACCTTTTCAGAACATGTATCTAAAAACTTTCATTGGTGTCAAGCCAAAAATTGGTGTATCAGAAATGACTAGAATATATTCATGGTATCATCTAGAATACATAAATTTTAATACTCTGAGCATAGTTTGGTTTTTACTTTGGGATCTTTAAATTGTTGAGAACAAAGGACTCTATGGGTATTACAAAGGTATAAGCAAAATGCAAACAGATAACATTTACAAGAGATTATATATTATTGTTCACTACTACCTTGTGCATTTTGTGTCAGACATGTTTCCATAATGCACCTCCATCCATTGCTGTGAGAGCTTTAATTGGCATTTACAACGCTATGTAAATTTGTTCTTAATTCATATTATATAGTAACATTATTTTTGAGAAACTGGTAGACAGTGGGAGGAGTTTGATCATTACACTTGTTATTTTGTATGGCATAAATAGTTTTATCAAGATACTCTCATCAAGAGAAGAAAATGCACATGGAATAGACAAATAATACAGTTCTGCCACTGGCTAGGACGTACTATGACAGAGTAGGTAATTCAGCAATCTAGTGTGGCTGTGCAAATGAACTAGATGTATTTTATTTGAAGATTTCACTGTGCGGCTTCCTGACTCTGTGTTCAAACATGTTTAGCACATCAAATATACTAACACTCTAGACTACTGCAGTACTGCCATTAATGGATATGATCTATAATAGCATCTTTGCATTCCATTTGGATTCAAGCAGTGCTGGAACTTACTGTGTCGAAGAGCAGTTACATTGGTAAAATTAAACTTCTTGCACAGATTTATGGAAACTGAGTAGTATATGGGAAAAGACAGTTCGGTCGTGGCATTTAATTTTTCTTCAGATGAAGGGTAGCAAAGACTTACCAGAGAGGAGGATATAGTTTGTGAGGGTGTAGAGAAAGTTCCTTCAAAATACCTGAAGAAACGCTGTCTTCCAGAAAGCCAGTCTTCTCTGAAGGGAAACTATACCATTTCAAATGTCAAGCTGTATTTTGCAGTGTGTTGGAATGTAGTTGTGCGCATTATAAATGACAAGCTTCTTGTCCTTCCTGTAAACTCTTCACAGTAACATAAGTGAACAGTTGAGGGAATGAAATTTTCAGAAATAACTTACATGCAAATCTTCTTAATGCGAACTGGTATAAACTGAACATCTGTGGTATGATAATTTTGTTAGGAATGATAACTTCACCTTAATCAAGAAGCTGAACAGTATCGGGTTTGCTTCTTAGAGCTGCTGATCAATTTGTTGAATGTCTGTGCTTTGTATCAGAAAATACAGATAATTATTTAATTATAGAATATTATTTTTTTAGCTTATATTTGAAATCTACCTTATTTTTCAGCTGATGGGGAGCACAAACTTGATTCAAGTTCAGGCAGAATTTTAGGCAGACTTAGAGGTAAGTCTAAGTCATTGAAGATCCTTTAAGAACACAGTAACTGGAGGGGTTTTTCTGTATTCACTTCTAGTTGGATAACAGATTTCATAGAACTTTCTCAGAGGAAGGCTCTGGTGCAAACCTCAGGTGTTTTGTGGAAATGTTTTTTACAACACCTTTCATCCATCATTATCCGCCCGCTGAAGAGGATGTGTCACTACCAGTGGGAGAGCAGTAGCTGTTGTAATGAGTTATCTGTGGATCTGGTGAATGAAATGAAGCACTTGGAGACTAAGGGGAAACTGGTGGGAACACAAGTAGCCTGTGTAAAGACTTAATGAAACAATGGATGCTGAAAAAAAAATAGTTTGAAACTTCTGCTTCAAAGATTAATTTCTTTCCTCTTTCATAATCTCTATACTTAGCTTTTGTGGTTCATGTGCTGATCTTTAAAAACAGTTTCTGGAAGGACACTTAAAATAATCTCCACTGTACTGTTGAATGAGTAGATAGATTTTTATTCCCCCTGTACAGTAAAGCTAACCTTATGACAAGCCTTTCCTTTCCTTTCCACAGGGAAAGGTGGTGGTGGCCTTAACCTTGGGAACTTCTTTGCAAGTCACAAAGGCTACAGCCGAAAAGGGTTTGACCGACTGAGCACTGAAGGAAGTGATCAAGAAAAAGATGAAGATGATGGCACAGATTCAGAGGAAGAGTGTTCAGCACCTCCACCCCCACCAGCACCTTCGTCATCCTAAAACCAGCCTTTGAGTTCTCCATTATATGATTCAACCCAGAATGTCAGATTGCTTTTCCCTTAAGCACGTTTAAGATTTTGTGTATTTAATTGTAAACTGTACTAGTCTGTGTGGGGCTGTACACTGGTTCCTTTAATTTTTGTTTGATTTTAGTTCTGTTTTTTAAGTGGAGGAGTGTATGGAAGTTCCATATCAGTGCCGTTGTTTTTTATGTGAACATCTTAATAAAGTAAACAGTCTTCTAATTGCAGCACTGATTTAAAGCAGTAGTATTTTCTCATCTCAATTTGGGGATCTTGTAAATAAGTCTTACTATCTGCTTCATCAAAATATTTTTCCCATAACTATTCAGTTGCCAGTTTCTGTTTTGTGCCTTTCCTCTTCAATGTCCTTAACCTGTTGCAGAGAAAATACAGTGCCACAAGAAAATGAAGCTGCTAAATCTTCTTCTATTTTTTTAAAATCACTATCATTATATTGCATTGAAGGAAAGAAAAAAGTCTCTAATTTTTTTTCTTCTTCCTAACTTGATGTGTTTCTGGGATGTCTTATTTTTAGATGGTATCACTGTTAGAACACTATTTTCAGAAGCTGAATGTAATTTGTGTAATAAAGTATTTGCAGAGCATTAGCTGTCGGAGTGTATTTTGGAATTTTTGCATACTTTTAAGTTTTTTGTATACAACTTTTGTAAAAGTTACACAGACCACTTAATACAGTAAAAATTTTAATGTCTTCTACCAGCAGAGAAAAAGTGCTATTTTGTATGGAAGCTGGAAAAATACTTTACTATGTCACAAGTTTTTTTTCTTTTAAGACTAATAATTTACATACATGTACGAAGTCAAGCTTAAACATTTAAACAGGAATTTTACTTGTATAATAAAACTGCAGGGTATTTACTTTAATAAAACATGGTCACAGCTAAGAGGAAACCTGTGTCTCAAATTAAATATGCAAATTAGTCAGGGCAGGCATATAGTACTACCAGGTTTGTAGTACTGCTTGTCTTGTTTCTCCACACTTCCTTTTTCATTCATACAATACAAATCGTCAATCCTGTAATGTGCTCACTCATCGAACAGGAGGCTTGCAGAAGACCTGCTAGATAATTATCCTAGCTGTATGAGTCATCTGAAGTGTGAATCATTGTGTGACATCATCATGATTTATCAGTCTAGTTTGAGGATCAGAGCATGATTAATCTCCTTTTAAAACCTGTATTATGAGCAGAGTGTACACAGCTGTAATTGCCACAGGTGTTTATGAAACAGCTTTCATTATCATCATTGCAGGTGGTGTAATAGGCTATTGCTGGTGTTGAGCTTGAAAAATAGGCTTTAGGTTTCTTGTGGCAGCAGGTTTTGCAAGGTATTTTTTGAGGGAATAAGGGTAATGATAGTGGAACAAGAGATAAGACCTCCTCCCCTGGCAAGATTTATAGAATCTCCTTTTTCTGGAACAAAAACTTAAAATCCTTGACAGGTTGTTTTTTCTCAAGTATAGCAAAATCTCCAGGGTAGCTTTCTAAAATGCTGGAGTACAGGCTGTTTCATGTGATACGTATTTAGTGCTCTTAAGTTGCTTCCTTTCCTGATAATTTCTATTTTCCTAATGTTACAAGGAAAACGGCCTGTTTCTGTCTCACTTTTGAAAGCAAGACAGTGTTATTTTTAGCTGTGGCCTTGATCCCCTTGTTTATGAATAAAAACAAACAAGGTAGTTGGGAAGGATCTTCTAAAGCTGCCTGCAAAGGTGACAAGTCACTAGTTTACAGGAAGTTTTCAGTGAGAGCAATTAAGAGAGCTGTGGTGGCACTGCTATCATCGGTGGTGTATATGGCATCAGTTCTAAAAGATCACCGGCTTTCCTCAAAAGCAATCAGTAAGGGTATATTTTTCTAACATTTGGATAGCTCACATTATGTCCATCTGGTGTTGGGTGTTCTCTGCCTCCATGGTGTTAGGTCAATGAAGATAACATGCAGCTGCTTCCTTCCTCCTTTCCTTTAGTTGATCCTTATCTCCAATTTTAAAAAGTGCTCTGGTGAGGGGGGAGTAGCTGAACACAGTTTAATTGCAAGTACAAGCTAAAACAGATAATTCAGTGTTAGTCATAATCTCTGCTCTCTGGAATTCAGACGTTGGTCCCTACAATAACCCTGGGCTGCATAAAGAGAAGCGCGTGGAGGGAGGTGGTTCTCTCCCTCTGCTCTGCTCTCTTGAGACCCCACCTGGAGCACTGCAGCCAGCTCTGGGGTCTCCAGCACAGGAAAGACATGGACCTGTTGGAGCAGGTCCAGAGGAGGGCCACAAAAATGATCAGCAGGATGGAACACCTCTCCTATGAAGAAAGGCTGAGAGAGTTGTGGTCATGCAGCCTGGAGAAGAGAAGGCTCTGGGGACACCTTATTGCAGCCTTTCAGTGCTTAAAGCGGGCTTATTAGAAAGACAGACTTTTTACCAAGGCCTGTAGGGACAGGACAAGGGGCAATGGTTTTAAACTGAAAGAGGGTAGATTTAGATTGGATATTACAAAGAAATTCTTTACTATGTGGGTGGTCAGACACTGGAACAGCTTGCCCAGAGAAGTTGTGGATGCCCCATCATTGGCAGTGTTCAAAGTCAGGTTGGATGAGGCTTTGAGCAACCTGATCTAGTGGAAGATGTCACTGCCCATGGCAGGTGGGTTGGACTAGATGATCAAGGTCCTTTCCAACCCAAACCATTCTGTGATTCTTTGATAACTGCACTGACAGGCAACCCACTAATTTTCAGCAGCGAGCAAACTTCAGCACGTCAAGTTGCATGCTCTAATTTCATACAGGTACAATGGCAGAAAATCTGAACCTGCTTGAAGGCACTGAATGTTGTTTATCTCTTATTAAAGCTGCATCTTATGACAACAATGTACCAGAGACTTCATAGGGCAATACAAAATTTATGTAAAAAGGAAGACAAGCTTTCTGTAATCATAGCTCTAGTTTTAATAAGCCTGCAGACCATCCTTCATGCTAGCAGGTTCTATGTGCTAATATTGTTATTTATGTATTAAATGTTGCATACTGGTTTCAAATCTAGGCTTGTGGATTTGGAGTGCATGTGTTTAATTTAGTTTCAGCAATTGTTGAGTTAAGACTATGCTTTTTGATGAACAACATGGAATTGCCCATTTTAAGACTTCAAAGATATGACACTAACTTTCATGAATTGCTGATTAATCTTTTCTTGAGCCTTTTTAAGATGGAAAAATCTCAGCTATTGTAGGGGCTGAATATTTTCATTAAAATTAGGCTGATGAAGTAACTAAGCACCTTTCCCTGCAGTGGAACTGTATTGAGCATCTCCTGCTTTTAAATAGTCTGACATACTGGAAGTCCTTCAGAGTGATGTTAAGGTGGCTGCTTATCTACTGGCAAGCAGTGCTGGGTGATTTTCAGTACTGGCATTACTGGCAGAATAAAAGAAGGGAGCTAACAGTGTAGAGGAGGATTTTAAAATCTCCAGTGGCAGCTACTTACCCAAGCAAAACCTGTGAACTTCTTGCTGTTTCTGGTGGCTGGGAAACCTAAAGAAGCATCCACCTGGCTTTGTCACACACATATTTGGAGACGTACAAGGGAGAGCTGCATAGGAGTCAACCTGGAAGCTGCACTAGCTTTTTCTAAGTACTACAGGTCATGAAGGCACTTCTGCTGAACTGCTTCTTTCTTTAGCTCCTTTCTACAAGTGTTTCTTATTAATTAGTTGCATGTGAAGCACGACATCCTGCAAGTGAAGCTCTGTCTGATTTCATTGTACAACTTAAAATACACGGATGTGTATTTTAATGTGCAGGCATTTTTTTTCTAGGGAACTGTGCCAAAAGTACCATTTTAAAGATGCAGTGGAGCAATTTGTTCCTAGCAAAGTCAGTGGTAACAGTTCAGGAAGCTAGGGAAATTATTATTAACTACCAACTACATTTATTTTTCAAACTGAAACATATGAGAAACCTAAATCTTTTTTTTTTTTTTTTTTTTTTAATTAACATTTAACACTTTTGTCAGAATGGGGAATAAGGCAACCCACATACCCAGCCATAGTGGGCTGAAGTTGGTGCTACTTCTTGTGTAGGTTTTAAGAGCAGAACCCTGCCCTGGCCACTGCATTCCTCAATGCTTTGATACCCTCACCCCCATGTTTGTTACTACTTTCTTCAGCCACAGCACATCCTAAAACTGCAGCTCAAGAGAAAAATTACTTTTTCATTAAAAAGGACTGAATCCCACAATTTGGCCATGTTTCCCTGAGCTGGGTCTCAGGTCACACACTGTCCTATGCACAAGGAACTGGAGGGATGGCTCACTGTATGTGAGATCCTGCTCACAGCAATCAAGGCTCAACACGAGTGCTGAAGGGCACCCAGTTCTTAGAAAGCTGCACAGCCATACTGAATGTTTGCCACAGTTGGCAGTTATGGTATAAATGATGTAATGCACAAGCAGATTATTTTTGTACTGTAACTAAATTATGTGAAAGGTCAGCCATGCAGCCTTCACATAATGCAGGTCACATTGCTCAGAAATATATTTATCCTTCCATAATTATCATCTGGTTACAGTTTTTGCTGTAACTAGAGGATAATTTTGCTGAGAATGTAGTTTGGGAATGAAAGACTCAGAGAAACCACTGGGCAGCAATTTCTACAAGCATCGCGTATTCACTGTGCTGCAGTGGCAGAGTCAGCACTGGGTGCGTAGGGCTGTGTCGTGCGGTGACAGGCTCACACCGTGTGACCGCGTCAGCAGGGAGGCAGAGAAAGTCAGGGCTCAAGTGCACACTCCAAAATAAATCCCTAATATCTGTGGAGTCGAACATATGAAGTTAAGAATCTCAAAAACTTAAGTTTGTCAGTATAATACTGTAACTATACTCTAAATCCTGTCCTGTTCCTATTTAGCCTGCTCTCCTTTTTCTAGGTCTTTGATCTGTGGAAGTAGTAGATGATGTGTCCAACTAGACAAACACTCAAAATCAGTCTGGTGGGGAACCCCACGTATTATTTACTGCATATCACTGAAATTCTGAACAAAATACAGAACTCACTTTCTTGTGCAATTTTCTAGTGGGGCTTTCATCACTGCCTGCCAGCTTTGTGAAAAGTAATGAGTATTTTTATCAGCATGTCTGAGAACTGACATGGTGCTATTCGCTTTGTACAGAAGGGGGAAGCAAGGCATAGAGATATTAAAGGCATAAATTGTGAAACAAAAAATCAACTAATTTTAAGTGCTGAATTTGTGAAATCTGATTTATTCCCTTTTAACCCACTTAGATACCACTTTATCTATTCAAGGCACTGCTGCTGGCTACCAGCTGCAGTTCTGAATGCTCCAGCTCTGCTGGTGAATGCTCAGAGGTTCTTGTCAAGTGCCCAGAAAAGGCACACAAGTAACAACTGGTAAATTATGGGAAGTTGTACCCAAATGATCTGTGGACCATTGCACTAGCAATCTGTAGCAGGGCAGCACTGCCTGGCAGACAGGGAATATGGTATTTCCTAGTCTGTCTTGTTCATTGGCATACCTGTTTCTGCTACCAATGCAGCAAGGTTTCTGCATATCCCTTCATCACTGTAACACTTTGC